TCTCTCTCTCTCTCTCTCTCTCTTTTTTTTTATAACGTGAATCAATCACGACACAGTACAGAGATTGAGTCACTCTTGTTTTGGATGACCCGCTAAAGATGTATTACTTCACCCGTATGAGCGTATCCTTTAAGTTTTAGCAACGCCAAAGACGTTAACGTTTCTTGTACATAATTGTAATTGGGAGCTCCAGTGGCAAAGTAAGTAGTGAGTTTAATGTCAAGCAAGTGTCGGTGACACGAGGATCAGGTGGGTGGCCACTGGGGTGTGACCTTGAGCAAGACAGGACAACCCCAGCTCAAAACACAGGGCGCTGCTCAGTGACGACCGACATTGGCATAGTTGTAGACTGTTCTGTATTTGTGTAGTATTGTGTATTTATGTATGTATTTATGTATGTAGTTATGTATGTACGTATTTATAATTATGTATTTAGGAACGTATGTATGTTTGCCATTGTAAACCAAAGTGCCCTTCTGGGATAAATAAAAGTGTAATTTATTTATTATTATTTATGAATATTAATTCATTCCAGCACAACATTGCATTCAAAATGGGCAGATCAATACTTTTCTTTTTTCGGTCTCTCTTCTGTTCTACCACACGGTGTCGAAGTGAGATGCAATTTTCTGACGTGGGCAAGGTGTGTCCCTTTTGGGTTGTGGGGCTTTTAACATTTCTTTTTGGAGAGGGGGGGTCTTCTGACTCCATCGGTTTATTTTTTTAAATTCTTGGTCAACCTCTTCCATTGAAGCCATTGCATTACGTATAAAAGAATGAAAAACCAATGCATGTGAAATGAAGTGTCCCCACAAAACTATCAACGTCACCAGAAGAGACCGCATAAGAAACGAAAACATACGTCTACAAACCTGAATACCACCAGTAATAAAATTCATAGAACGTCCAAGAGTCAAATGGTCTGGACATCTAACAAGAATGCCCCAGAAACAACTTGTAGCTAGAGTTTACGACACCTGATAATCCGGCTTCAAATCAAGAGGAAGACCAAAAAAGACCTGGCTGGATGGGGTTAAAAAGGTCCTGGTACAACATACCATATCTATCACAGACGCTACGCACCTAGCACAGGACAGAAACCTGCACCCACCCTCGTTATCTTAAGGATATCAGAGAACGGAAAAAATAAAAGTAAAGTAAGCATCTCGTATAATAGATTTCTGATGCTAGTACTTTGATTCCCATTATTTCAGTTTGACTTGTACTTTTTAAAACAGCTTTGTTTTCGTTTTTTTGTTTTTTATTGTAGTTGTTGTCGTCGTTGTTGTTGAAACCAATGTCCTATTTATTGTTATCTCCAGGCTGAGATGTTGCGTCACGGTTTTGGAGTTCAAGGCCAGGGTATCCGACGTCACCGTCAAGGTTTTGGCTACCGCAGACTTCCGGATCCGGGAAACCTCTCTGTCCCTCGTCTTGGTGGCCCCGGACAAAGTAATGACGTCATTGCAGCTGTTGCTGTTTCCTCGGCCTCCTCACTCGTCACATCGTCTCAATCTGAACGTGTTGATGAGTTGAGAAACAGCGTGAACGCCAAGAGCAGAAATAACTGCAATAACAAAATTGGGTCTGTCAACAAGGCAAACCCGCAGAGTATTACAAGTCATCGCGACGGAAGTGACGTAAGCGGCAACAATCAGAACAATAGAAACAACAACGACGACAACAGCAACAACAACTTTAACAGCAACAACAGCAACAACAACAACAACAGTAACAACAGCAACAATAACAGCAACAGTGTGATCGCAGACACGGTCTCACAAAGAAATGGGGCTAATAATATCTCCGAGCAGGGAAAACCCCGTGTGTCTTCTCCTGTGTCAAATTCCTACAAGGCACAAGAGAAGAAAACGACCCACGTCAGACATTCTCACCATGGGAGTGGGGTAGAACTAGACAAAACGGACAGGTATATCCCACACTTCCAGCATGACACCCCATATCAAGCCCTATCTCAAGCCAATACGTTAGGCCCGTATCCAGGAATTCAACCCAAACCCTCACATTTACAACGTCTCTCGGAGTTCAAGGACCACAAAATGCGTGAATCTCTGACTTCCATTTCACACCCCACCCTCCAGAACTTCTCCCACACCCCTTTAGCCTACAGGAGACACCCCAGCTACCCGTACAAGATTGTCACTCCTGTTCTGGACGTGGACACCAGACCCAGAATACCGTTCGAAAGGAGGCGAATGTTCCCGCCACATATCCCCCCGCTGAAGAACGGCCAGCCTCTACCGCCTCCTTTTGTACAGTTTCCAGGTCACCCAATGGTTTTGGAGTCTCTACATCTAGACCATGGACACACAGTGAGGCATTCAGGAGAGTCTTACATCGACGGGAGAGTTTGGAGGTCAAAAGGTGAAGTAGGAATAAATTCTCCTCAAATTCTCAGACATTCGAGGGCTCCACTGGAAGTAGGATTTCACACAGAACATCGTGTCAAACTTGCAAACCCTGAACATATACGGTATACTCCTCACCCCAGCAACAGATTGCCTTGCGGAAATGACGTGGTGGTATTTTCCAAAGACACCACAACGAACGTTGCGTCTTCTTTACCTACTCCCTGTCCAGGAATACGGAAAGCCGTTGACGGAGTCAGAAACAATCCGACCTACCCTAGAAGGCTGGCTTCTCCTGGGTACAGACATAAGCCAGGTCTTGGGGAGAGAGTTATCTCCCATCCTAACGACGTGGCAGTTGACAGAATTCTCCAACGGAGTCAGATGTACCGCCAGTCTGGGGATGAAGTCCAGGACTTCCGTGGTGACCTCAGACAGGCCGAAATTATCAAAAGCCGGGTCGTCACTGACGGTGTGATGAAAGAACGGAGGGTCGATGGAAGCACAACTGAGGTGTACGTAGCGACAGAAGATTCTAGGAGTTCAGAACACATGCGACAGAATAATGAGTTTTTTGAGAGTGCCAAGGAAAACTTTTCTAGAGGGCAAACACATGAATCTTCTATGATACAGAGTAATAAAGACTCTCTCCGCGTTCGACACAGAAGTGGCAGAAGTGCTGTTCAAAAGGACAATGGCCCTGATTCTGTTACCGAAAAGACGACCCGATTATCAGCAAGTAAAGGCTCAGTGCAAGCTCCGCCAAACACCCACAGTGAATGTCGGTATCTTCCACTTGTTCCTAATAGCACTGTAGATGCTCGTAGGGATATCGATCCGAATGGAAAGTTGGAGAAACCCGTTTCTATCGTGATTGGGAGTGGTGTTGATGATGGCGGACGTCCCACAACGGCTGTGCATCAAGGGGGGAAGCGGGAAGACTATAGTGGTAGTAAAGTACAAAGTCAAGAGACATCTCTATTGTCCGGTGACGAGAAGAATGGGAAAAGCACAGGCGTCACTTCGGAGAAAGGATCAGGCAAAAATCTGTCCTGTAATGAAAATGTGAACACAAACTCTACGTTAGAGCAAGGATCAAGTAAAAATCTGTCTAGTAATAAGAATGTGAACTTAGACAAAGACAATACGTTGGAAGAAGGAGCAAACAAACAACGGAATCTGTCGGGGCAGCAGCAAAGTGGAAGCGCGAGGTCCCAGCGTCCCAGCAGCGAGTTCCCCACCAGCGAGTTTGACCCCGATGACCCCAGCTGCGCCGGCCTCAGTCTTGTGGCCTGTCTCAGCTCCTCGGGCCGTGGGGAGGATTTCTTCAGCACCCCCTCCACGTCATCGTCGTTGGGAAACTTCTACGAGGCTGAGGAAAACGATGATGATAAGCACGACGATGAAAAAAACGACGATGATAAAAATGCCGATGACAAAAACGACGAAAATAAAAACAATGACGATAAAAACGAGGATAAAAACATCCCCCACGGAGCAGCCCCGACGGGTACGCTGAGGTCTGGGAGTCCGGTGGCGCCAGAGAGTCGGAGCAGTAGCCGCGGGGAGTGGATCGTGTGTAGAGACTACAGGGCCACGGTGAACAGCCAGTACGGGGATAAGAACAATATCTGGACGCAGAACGACCGAGCCAGGGCGTCACAACAACAACAACAACAACAACAACAACAACAACAACAACAACAACAACAACAACTACAACTACAACTACAACAACTACAACAACAAGAAACTGGGTACACTGTCGAGGGGAAGTATCAGACTTATTTTTGTAACACGACTCAGGACAAAACTAACTATTCAAAGTTGAATTACAGTCAACATTTTGATTCTGAGAAAGTGATGCAGATTTCTGGAACTCACAACGGGAACTCGGACAATAGATTTGGTCAGAAAACAAAGCAGGGTGTCTTGAGTGAGGAGCCTGGGAGATCAAAGGTGAATTACAAGGCCGCTCACAACGTGTCTGACAGAGCACGTGTCGTTCCTGACACGCCGGACATTGGTGGTCTGTCGGGTCACCAGGTGCAAGTGACCCCTCCCCGGGTCAGAGTGACCCACGAGAATGACGTCTGGACGCCAGCTAGGTCTGTCGGAAACGACCACACCCTCGGTGGAAACGTCACGTTTTCGCGTCGTGACATATCTGAGGACGCTGCTGTTGCCTCGAAAATCTCGTGGAAGCTCGCCGAACTTGCAAAAACGAGAAATCGTAAACTATACATCTCTGGGAATCGAGTTCAGAATAACAGATTGATTACAAAAGAGGTTCATTTAAACCGACCAATCAGCAGAGAGTTAGCGCTGAGAAACAGACCCGTCAGCCGGAAAGTACCCAACAGACCCATGAGTAAAGAGATGGGTGGGGAGAAATCTTTCCCCAGACCGTGGGACACGCGGCCCCGTTCCGTCGGGGAAGGCTTGAGCAAACGGCTTGCCGGACGAACGTGGATGAATCCTTTCATTCACACCGATAGAGAAAGTGTGTACAGAAGTGTGGACGACTTGTCCTATAGAACGAGCTTGCCGGCTGAATCGAGAAAACCGCCGATCACGAAGCAAGAAGCGGCAAAATTCATCTCTGATGTTGATAAGATTCGACTGCAAAAAGCCCAAAGCCTGCAGACTCTCAGTATCTCTGAAGACAAGGCCCAGGAGCTGCTCGACTATTTCTGGAGCTACCAAGGAATGGGCAGACAAATCCTACGCGCTGACTCGGCAGATCTCAACACCGACAACGAAGGGAAACAACTGGAACAAACTAGTGGAGAAATAGGGAAATTTCATCGGTTACCTCCCATCGATTCGGACGCGTCGTATTACAACACAACAAACGGCCAGCGCGGTGAGGGGGTGGGGGAGGGAGGGGCGGGTCAGGCTGCCCTTACACATGGGGACCCTGCACTAATGGCCGCCGTGGCCCCACTCTTGGGTCACCCGGGGCGGGGAGGGGAGGAGGAGGAGAGAATGCGGGGACGCGTCCATCTCGTGGTCAAATTGCCCAGCGCGACCACGGACGGGCCGCTTGAATGAAGTAACTGACTGACTGACTGAACGGCCGATTGCTCTAACCGTTTAACTGGAAGAACTAGGTCTACTCTCCATTTTTCTTTTCTTTTCTTTTTTTTTTTTTTGGTTCTCA